AGTCTGAGGTAAAAAAGTGAGGGGGGACTATGGGGCAGGTGGGGGTCCCTGGGGGTGGGAAGGGAGCGGGACGTTTATTGGTCTGTTCGAAGCGTTTCTGCCCCGCTTTCTATCTCCGTGGGAAGGACCTGAGGCGGCGGACCGCCTCCGAAGCTGAAAACGAACCAGGGAGCCCACGTTTTCGGAAGAGGGGGAAACCCCACGTCCTAAAAGTGGGTAGTATTGAGGGGGAAAGCGTGAGGGGGGTATTAAGGGGTTGCTGAGGGGGGAAAAGTGAGGGCGGCGAGGCGCGGAGGTAAAACAAAATAAGCGGGTCCGACGGGGGGGGGGAAAGCTGAGGTAAAACGTGAGGCTGGGTTTGGGTTGCAGGTGAGGAGTGGCTGAGGTAAAAGAAAAGTAGCGAGAGGGGTGTGTGGGGCAGGAGGGGAGGTTCGCTGAGGTAAAATGTGAGGGGATATGGGGCTAAATAGGAGGCACTGAGGTAAAAAAAAAAATGCGATCTGTGGGGCCGGGAGGGAATGTGAATGTGAATGGAAATGTGAAGGGAATGTGTGTGGGGTGTGATTTAAATAAATTTGAATCTTTGGGGTTGGACTTATTGGCCTTGGTCACCTATCGACCCCACCCCAACTTAAATAATGTTTAAGAGGGAAAAGAAAGAAGTATTGGAAACATTTGAGGTATAAGATAAGGGAGTATGCAGTATATATATGTGGAAAGAAGAGAATTGGAAAAATTGAACTGATTTATGGTTTAATTTCTTTTGTTTTCTGCCCAAACGTTCTAGCTGTGAGAAAAGTTACTTTTTAAAACTAATACTCCAGGTAATTGGGAAGGTTGAGCTGAGGGTAACTTTGTTTCTGTCCAGACTTCACTGCAGTGGGGAAAGTAACTTTTAAAAACTTTTTAAAGCTACCACACCCGCAAGAACCGTAATTGCATGCCATACATGCAATTCCAATTTACAGCAACCCTTTCCAGGGGTTTTTAGGTCTAGCATACCCAAAAACTGGAGAAATTCGAATTAGAGTGACATTTTAATTTGTTTTTAATTTTACCTCTTAGTTCATCGACGTCCAGTACAGTATTTTAAATCGTGCCATGCTCCAATACAAATAAAGGGAAGGAGGTTTCTTTTTTCCTTTCTGAGGGGGTGCCCTGGGACTTGAGAGGACAAATTGTAGACTGTACCCCACAAGTTTTAAGTTAGAAGACAACAGTATGAGGTAAAGCTAGCAATGAAAGAGATAATAAGAAAGGAACAGGTAAAAGATGGAACAAGAAACGTGGAGAATTAGGGATAAACTAGATGGGATACTAGGAAGAGGAATGCAGAGACAATATTTCTCAACATAATAGTGATCCTGATAGGGTTTTCGAGGTAAATGAGATATTTAAGGAGTGATTTTACAAATTCCAACTGCACTTCCCTGAGTAAGTCTCCATGGCTAAGGGGATCCTAACCATGTTCTCCCCATCATTCTACCCACTACACCACACTGGCAACACAAGCCAAAAGATGGACCATCTTTATGCTTTCATGATCTTTTTGTACTTTTTGCCAGAATAGCAGTGGTACAAAGTAGTAGCTTAATAAGGCAGAAATATGACTGAGGAATATGGTGCTGCTAAAAGCATCTCATCTCAAGAATTTGTATTCAGTATTACTGAATCGAAGATGTTATGTGCCAGCAGGGTATTTGCAACATATGCCAGACCTAATAGGGTTTTCCAGGTGTGTGAGGTGTTTAGGGAATGGCTTACCATTGACACTTTCCATTGAGTGTCCATGAGTGAGGAAGAATTTGAACCCAGCTTTCCTAAGCCCTAATCTGATACTCTTACCTGCTACACAGAATTGGCTGTCACAGACCTGGTGCTCACACACAAATCTAGATTATCTACTATTTCCCCGCAAGGCTAATTTAGAAAGGAATTTTTAGAAAAATCTTGTCTTATTAAGCCCTGAGGAGTTTGTAATTCTCACTCATCTCCATGGAACTGACTCTACCTTCTGTCTAACCCAGTCTAGAGTATTTAGATCAGGAATGTTCATTTTACAGAACAAAAAAGTCTAAACTTTCTAAAAAAATCGTACATGTAATTCATGGTATATGGGAGGTGATGTGGTGATTCCTAAGTGAAATAATGGTAGCTGTTGAATGCTCAGGGGCACATCATCTCTGTATCCCATCCCTTGTCTTTGGGAACAGCAAGAAATGTCATCTTGTTTTATGAATAGCACTGGGACCCACTTTTTAGGAAAGGTAAGTGCAAGATTTGGAAGTATTTGGAGGTTCCACACGTGCATGTAAAATCAGGTGACCATCACAAACCCAGTTTCACAGGCATAGCTTCCATATTGCCTGAAAAACAGTTCTGCAGAATAGAAACAGGTTGATTCAGGAATTGAGCTGTATATCATTTTGAGCCAGTTCTTAGAAAAGGGCATCAAAGGTGTCAGAAAATTGCCAATAACTTTTCCTTAGAAAAGGAACTACAGTAGTCATATTTAGAGAAGATTAAAGGGAGATATAACAGTTTTCAAACATTTAAAAGTACCTGTCCTCAAAGAGGGAGAACACGGTTCCATATGTTTATTTATTTATTTGATTTCTATGCCGCCCGTCTGGCAGCCAAGGCCACTCTGGGCAGTTTACAACAAAAAACAACAGAGGAACAAATATATGCATGTTGGATGAGACAATATGATTTACTAACCAAAATTCTGTTGGTTAGTGTAGGCAATCACGCTAGAGTAGACCCATCCCATGTAACTAAGATTTAAGGTAAATTGTAGTCAGAGTGGGTCCACTTGAATCAGTAGAATTTACAGAGGAGTTGACTCACCAAACCCCAGTTGTTTCAATTTTACTTTGCTAAGTATCAGGATTTTGGCCACTGTTTAGAAAAGTAGGCTTTGACTATTTTAATGAAATTAGGCTTTAAGGTACCAGGATCCAACAACTACTTTTGCAAGATTCTAGGTCTTGTTTATATTTATTTATTACGGTCAATGACTATGAATAATTTTCTAGGTCTGACTTGAGTATCAGCAAGCTATTACAGTATTTCTAACTGTGAAGCAAATGCATTTATTATATACAGTATTATTTGCAAATTTAGGATGCTTTTGTATTTCATAAGAACAGATTTGTAGGGATAACTATGGTATTCACGTAGGTTAGGAAAGGAGATAAATACAGAATCTGGTTTGTCTAGATAAAAACCCATGTCTAAGTGTTAAACTGCATAATAATTTAGCTTTTAGAAGCCAAATACACATTTGTCACATGTGTCATCCCAATGCAGTTCTCTTCGAGCTGTGCACATGAACTTGTAAATGAAGCCTATGTTTATCTTCCAGTGACAAATCACAGTGCAAAATTAATTTGAAATCTAATTGAAGTGAGAAAAACTAACCAGACATTATGACATGTAAGAAATTCCTGATTCTAACAATATAGTTTATTATCTGGTTTGGCTCTTACATAAGCAGGTTCTAGAGTATCATTCAAGAGTTGTATTGAGGCTGAAGAGTATCATGTACCCCTGTGTATATAACAGTTAAAGTTGGAAAAAAATCGGGTACATTCTTTGTCACATGTTTGTGTTCTGCAAGATAGATAATAAAAGCTAGACTAATACAGAGTTGTGCTAGACTGAAGATATCACACAACTAAGCAGGAGACGGAAAAAGAATTCACTCAATTTACAGATCTGAGGGGAGCAGAAAACATCCTTTAATCAGATTTGTTACTGGGCCAAAACAAAGAAAGAGTGTCTTCTATGTAATGTGGGCTGCTTTGGCTCTCATTCTCACAGGACGGCTGATTTCCAAAATGCGAGAACTAGGAACATACTGGAGAGCTGCCTTGGAAACTTTGTAGGGATTGTGGCTTTCATACATGTAGATCCGTGGTTTGGAGAGTTCCTCAAACTTGGCAACATTAGCAATAGGGCCACGGGGTGTTTTTTTAGGTGGCTCTGCAAGTTAAAACCAAGAAGAAGCAAGTATTTGGGATTAATTTCATCAAAAACAACTCAATTTGTAAATAGGTAAAAATCAGAGCTTGGGCAAAATTGTTCTAATTGCCAGGAATATTACTCCAGAATATCATGAAAGTGACATTATAGGACGCAGTTTGCTTTTGTTGTGTGTCCCATCAGGATACCTCATGTGTTGGAAGTGTTAAAAGGAAGAGTTCACATATCGTCACTCACTCAGTGGCGGAACTGGGGAACAACAACATAGAACAACTCAGTGCAGTGGAAAGTAGAGAGGTTATTCCCCATATAATTGTTCCTATCTGTACACCAGGATTGATAAGACAATACCCCAGCACACTGGAAAAAAGTACTTCTTAAGCCTTAATAGTTGTGTAAGCAAAACAAATAAACTAAAACCAAAACCGCCAGAATTCAGTAAACCATAATATATTCTAGCAGTTTACATAGCAACAGGTAGGCAGAATAAGGAACAATAACAACCTTCTGATAATTTCTGATGGCATCAGCCACAAAACATTGTAATGCAAAATGAAATTTAGCCATCATGCTCAGACTTCATTTTTGCCCCACTGAAAATTGAAGAGGAGGGATCCTTTCACAAATCTGGAGGTCCCCCAAATTCCTTTCTCTTGGGCCTGAGCAAGTGCTGTGTTGGCAACATAATCCCCCACAGTTTTGACTTCACTATTAATACAGATCGTAAAATGCTCAATAAAAGAAAATGGTCTTTGCTCTCTGAAGGGAAGGATAGCAAAGCAATAGAGATCCACCTCTCGAAGCAGGAGTTATTTCATCAGCCATGTAGCTTTATGACATTAATAACAGCATACAACTTCAGAGCTACCTGAAAGAATTTGATAAACAGCCTTGAAGAAAATTATTTGTCATTGAAAGCTCACTTTGTTTTTTGGGTTTTTAAAAAAACATTCTTCATGGTTGATAACCTGTTCCTGCATTTGTATTGTTTCTACAACCATGTGGCCTTTTCCTGATTTCTCTTTTAATCTCATGTATCTAATGAACCGGCTGTGATTCATGAAGGTTGTTCTCACAATACTATGTCCTTAAGGTGCTACAAAACTTTCTTGGCTTTGCTACAGTAAACTAACACAACGACTCATCTGAAATTCTCTTTCCCTTCTTCAAATTATTGATTTCAAAAAGAGCTGGTTGCCCGAAGGAATCTTAACAAATTTATGCCGTAGAAGACTTGAACTGAGATTTTAAAAAATTGGTTGTACAGTACATAATAATTTTCAAGAATGTCAAGGTTAGCATATCAGAGACATGACTCCAGGGTGTGTGCATTCTAAAGAATTTGCAGCTATTTAAGATTTAGAAAATTTGTGAATGGAAAAGGGTGTTTGTGAGTGGACTTCTCAGTTTACAGCTGTGTACATCTCCCATGTTGCCTTTGATTTTTTTAAAAAAAACACACCTCTGTCTAATTTTTTCAGATTTTTTTACTTATGCTTGATTAGATAACACTGAGACAAAAGAATGAGTACATACTCTGTGGGAAATGAAGATTTCGTCAGATCACCTCAAGGTTATCAACTGTTTTGTGTCTAAACACCAAACAGAAGTTGCTCCCAGAAATAACATACCTAGGGAATTGACTGGGTCAGACTGGGGTGCACACCCACAAACTATTAGAACAACAGCTTTGTCCCTGCGCAGAATTATGCTAGTGGCATATGGTATAAATCAGCACATGCCAAAGAAGTGGGTGTAGCTCCTAATGAATCATGCAGGATTATTATTGGCTGCCTGAAAACTACCCCCATTGAAGAAGTCTGTTATTTGACTGGCATTGTCAGTAGTACATGGAGAGGTGCTAGCAAATAATGAGCCAAATAAGATAATACAGTACAGCCCCAAACCCATTCGCTTCATGGACATTAACCCCTTAGATCATGGCCAAAATTGAGGAAAAGTTTTCTGTACCCGTCTCAAGCTCTAAATATCAAATCAGAAGAGGCTAGGCTGAACCTGTGGAGCATAACGACAATACACCTTGCTAAATGGATGGATGCTGAGTGTCTCCCACCAGGACAGACTCTAGCTTGACCATCACTTCGAAGAAAAGTAGGAAGATCAAAGAATAAGCAAGTAAAATGAGGCTACTTGGATACAGAACACATTTTCTGTGACTGTGGAGAAATTAAATCAGTGTAGCCCTTAAGTGCATACAATTCATGTCACTTGTACAAAAGAGAATCTAGCAAATGGTAAAGATAACACTATTGAAGTTACCTGCTGGTGGTCAAAAATAGTCTTCATTTCTAAACATTTTAATTCATTTTTATTTTTACCTGTTTTTCATAGATGTTTATAATTTTAAATTGTCCAGTGCTCTGATACAAATAAAATTTTGTGTTTCTGTCTTGTCACCTGCATTCTCATTCAGTAGCATGAACAACAGATATGTTTGAAAAGGCAAAGCAGAAGCAACTTCCCAGCTTAGAGGCAAAGCAGATGGTTCAACCGGGAATTATATGGTGTGTGCTATGTTGCAGAATTTACTATCCAAGGAAGCTCTCCATGCTCGGAAAGTTAGATCTGAGTGCATGTCTGATGTGTGCCCTCCTCTTGAGAGGAATGGGAGTTTTTTAAAGTTGGTGTATCTGGTTCTGCAGATGCCAACTGTGACGACTTCCCTCATGAGCAGACATTCCTACACCAGCTGTCAGGAGTGAATCTTAGAATCCAGAGGGAGCCATGGCACTAATGCACACAGGCACCTGTGTTTGCACAGCTCTATTCCCATGTTCCTCATCTTCTGAAAATGGGAAAGATGTATTATTTAGTAACCCCCACCCCATATGTCCCCAAAAGCTCCCTAGAGGAGCTACAGCTAGGCTGGTGTGGAAAGCAAAATTCACGTCTTTGTTAGTGAGAAAGGCAGAAACTGATTGCTTACTCTTTAAAGGTGATACCGGCAGGCTCCTTGGTGTAGCTAGTGCTATTACCCGTTGTGAGGGAGTGGCATTCAGTGCTCCTTTGCTCACCTAAATGACAAGAAGCAAAGGTGTTCTTTTTTGTGAATGGTCTTTAGAGTCCCTAGCAGACTTCCTGATGCAAGATGGCATAAAGAGAGAAGCTGCCAAATACATTTCCACCACAAAGTGAAATAAATGGGAAACATCTAATGAAATATAATGCCAAAGGAGAGATGGAGTCTCCTGATAACCTTCATATGAATGTCTTACTATTGTAATGGCATTATAGAACCTAATCATTAACTCTCTGGAACATGTTGGGTTTTTTTTTAGGGAACTCATTCAGGTGTCTAGCAGCAGAGCTAGAGGTTGGGAGTTCAGTTCCCCACTGTGCATCCCAGATTGAGCCTGTGTGGCCTTGGGAAAGTTGCACATCCCAGAGTGTGCCCAGAAGGGAAGGATATATTCTCTGCCTGGAAAATCCTGAAAGTCAGAATTGACTCAACAGCACATGATTACTAGTATTATGTAAGACCAATAAGAGTTCATACCAAGAACCATGCTGGATCCAACTAGTGACCTCAATCGCAGAGTATCCTGCTTCTAACCAGGGTAATTGCAAGCATAATAAAGCGTGCTGCTTATATGATCCCTGTATCACTCTTCTACTTGTTTTTCCCAGCACCTAGCATTAAGAGGCATGGCCTCTGATGCAGGAGGTAGCAATTATCCGTTATGACTAGTGGTAGCCACTGATAGCTTTGTCCTGCTTGGTGAGTCTTATCTAATCCCGTTTTAATGTCCATATCGGTTGTGGTCATTGCCTCTTCTAGTTGTAGATGTACTCATAGTTCAGCTTTGTGCTGCCTGAATTTGTCTTGTTTTCTGTCTGGAATGTCCTGTCATTCAGCTTCAGGAGGTAGCCACGCTGGATTGAAGTATTGTAAGAGAAGGAGGAAAGTGTCAGAGAGAGAGAGTCAGGAGAGACAGGTTCCAGTCTCTTCCCCCAAGCTATGTTTCTCTTCCTTACACATCTTTCTGCAACACATCTTTCAGTGCATGTTTTAAAACTCCCCTGTCCGCTACTCAGTTAACTAGCTGGTTTCTCACTTCTGATGTATTTAAAGCTTTTTATAAAAGAATGATCCCAGTGATCTTAAAATCTTAACAATGTACCAAAGTTGTTCTAAAGAATGCCCACAGATAGCTTACCAATGTGGATCAGTTGCTAGGTTATATGGCATTCTGACTGTTGTGAAGCATTCCTTCACTAACAGTCATACAACACAGACAGCAAAGGGAAAGAGTTAAGTACCAAAGGGAAACGGGGGCGGCTTAATGCCCAGTCATCTATAAAAGGCCGGGGTTGTGCCAGTTCCTTCACCCTGGATGATGCTTCGGCGTTGAGTGCTGCCCGTGAGATGGGCCACACAGCTGTGGGTCTGCATTTGGGAAAGAAACAGCAACTGTGAGAAAATCACTCCAAATTTGGGCTCATGTAAGCCAAGTCATCAAAGACAACCATTGCAATCCAAACTCTTGGAGAAAATGCCCATCTTGGAAAAAAATAATGAACCTTTTCTCAGAACTGACTTGGTTTTTCACCATTGCACAATGAACACAAAAAAACACCCAAAGAGTTGCCCTTGCTGGGAAATGACAAATAGTTTTTCCTCATTTTTGGGATAAACTTTTGTATTTTAAAGACTGGATGTTCTTCTATTAAAAGGCACATTACCAAAATGTGGGTTGCCTTCTTGCTTGAATTAGCAAATGTACTAGCATTGGGTGGATTGCTTGTGTCCTTTTACCGAGCACTCTGTTCATTCATGCTTGCTACGCATGCCTGTTTAGCTTCACAAAAGGAAATGTTACTAGTTTTGAGCCAAGACATTTGGCAAAAATTGAGGAAAACGGAATGGGCAGACATGGTGTCTGCAACGGTGGCTGGAGAATTCCCAGCATGCGATCTCACAAGATGGTCCATCTGAATGAAAACAGACATCAGCAAGATTTTTCAGCAATTACTTTTAAACTTTCGAGACTTCATACTGTTACTTGGTTAAGTTGGCTGCTCATTTTTCTGCCTTCATAGCCGTGACTATTCATCTCGTCTTTAAAGACCTGGCTCCCTCAACAAACCCACTTTGTTCAACTTGGTTGCTTTCTCCCCACCTGTCACCTCTGAAGTCGGCATTAACCTTCTTGGATTGTGACAGTTCTTCTTGTCTGGAAGTTAAGGCTGTGGGGGGAAAAGAGGGATAACAGCAGTGAGCTCGGAGATAAAATATGTCTGCTCAGGATCATAGGACAGGTTGAGAAACACTCCCACAGAAATATCTGCCAAAGGAAGTGAGGTGGAGGGCTGCACGTTTCAGGGACTTCTCTTGGCACTATCCTTCCTCAAGGAAGCGTACCTGAAGTATACACTGCTATCTTCTCATCAACAAACAAAGATATTTTCTGTCCTTCTGGATATTGTCATTTTTAAGATGTGTTGCCTGGTATTGTTTTTACATGTTCCTTTCAAGTAGATTCCTCATGTCGTCCTGCACCTTGGCTGCGCAGAAAGCCCCACCTGGCATAGCAACATGGAATGGTGTCCCTCATGAAAGCATCACAATGGGACAAAAGAAGTCATGGTCTCAATGAATAAAAATTGCCCTCCACCTCTTTGCACAAATAGGCCAATCCCACATTACTACTCTGCTCTCAGTGAAAACTTAGCGGAGTCCCAGCAGCTGTATATCAGATACTGTACAGTATTTACCTTTTTCTAGTTTGCCCTAAGAAATTGCATTATTTAAATTTAGTTTAAAAAGTAATAAATAAAAGTGTTTTATAAAGTTTGCTGTGTTTCCATTGGCTTGTGAGTTTAGCTGATTTCTCTTGGGATCAGGTAGTAGGATAACTCAGTCTAGGGAGATCCTCTGACTCAACAGAACTAAAGGTCAACCAAAAGAATATGTTTAGCACGTATTCAGAGAAGGTGCTCAAATGGGGAAAGATGTCTATGATTTCCTGATGGAGTGTTCACCCTGCTCATGAATATGTTGATATTTGCATGCACCAATAGGAGTTGTGGGGTGGAGTTAAGTAAGGGAGAAGAAGAAGAGGGAGGGAGAGAGGAGAGTGACTGGAGATGAGGAAGGAGAAGGTTGGTTTAGTTGAGAGTTAAGGACATTGACTGGACTTTTATCACCTGTAACAATAAACAGTTTCTACTTGGTTCTTAAATGATATGTTGCCCGGACCTCTGTCATTAATAGTGAACAATGTTGATGTAATCAGCCGGTGGCAGCTGAACAACAAACAACACGTGTGCGCCTTTGCTTGGTGAAACAACCAAGAGCCACGTGGGAACGCGACACCCCACCCCCACCTTCTGCACCCTTTATAAAGCATGCTGAATTTTTGTTGTGGTTGTTTTGATTTATTTACTGACCCATAGCAAAGTGGTTCTTAAACTGGGGGTCCCGAGATGTTCTTCGACTGCAGCTCCCAGAAGCCTCACCATGAGGTGGGCTGGCCAGGATTTCTGGGAGTTGCAGTCCAAGGACATCTGGGGACCTATGTTTGAGAACCATTGTGCTAAAGCACTCTCTAGTGGTTGACAACATACTCATCTTACTGACCCCAGAAGGATGGAAGGCTGAGTCAACCTCAAGCCAGCTACTTGAAACCATTGGGATCAAACTCGGATTGTGAGTGTGACTGCAGTACAGCAGTTTAACCACTTGGACCACAGGGCTCACTTTTATTGGTCACTGGTAGGCTTTATTTGCAACTCTGTTTGCTGAGGCATGTACATATATCTGAGGAAATGCTTTTAAGGTGATGAAGCTCCTAGAGTCGGCAGTTCATGATCCCTCCCTTCCAGGCCTTAATCTAATTTTCTAGCATCCATGTTGGCAGAAGCAGATGCAAAGTTAAGGTGAATAAGCTTGAGTGAGCAACCCTGCCTTGTCCTGAAAGACTAGAGGCAGTGTAGTGGATGGTGTGACCAACGGGGAATCTGGGAATTTGAGTTCATATCCCTGTTTAGTCATGGAAGCTCCCTGGGTGGTGGCATTAGTAAAACCACCCCTAAACCATGTCACAAGGTCACCATGTTGGAAATTGACTTGGTGGTGTGTAATGCACAAAATATAACCTTTCTTTTGTCAAAAAGGTAGTAGAGGAAACATGATAGTGGAGATGGCAGTGGAACCCACTCAGGTTGTGGATCGTCAGATAGTCACCAGTAAGTTCTAAACAACTTGCCTGGAACAGTTACTCTTGGAAGTTCTTTAGGTATTTTATCTACCCAGTAGATCGTTGGCCTGCAGAGAAGACAAAGAGTGTGTTAAGCAAAGGGGTAAAATGTCCTCACACCATCTCCTGCCCCTGATCTTCCCAAGAGTAGTCCAGTATCTCAATCTTTCTTGGCTAAACTATGTTCTCACCTGCAAAAGAGGATCTGGTGGTTGACTTTTGGCTGGGCAAGAATGCTGATGCGATCTTGCTTGTCCCATTCTGCAGACATCAATTACAAGAGACCCGAGGGGCAAACTGTATTCCTGAATCAGTATGGTGTTCTGGCTGCCTCTCAGGAGAGATCCGAAAGATGTCTTGAGGTTGACTGGTGTGCAGAAAATAGTAAGTACTGTATGTTTCATAGATCGAAACAATATGTGCAATTATATGCATCTTGAAAGAATTTACACATGAACTTCCATGTGTCTGAAGAAGTAGATCAGTATTTATTTCTATTTATTTAAAATATTGTCACCCCACCTTTCTCCTTAAAAAGGACCCAAGGCAGTTTACATCAATAAAAGACAGAATTTAGAGCTAACCACAATGAGTACGGAAATACTAAAAAAGATCAAATGAGTAAAGTTCTCACTGATGTGCATCTGTGAATATTATAATGTTGGAAACCAAGCCCTAAGAGGAAAGACTGAAAGAACTGGCCATGTTTAGCCTTGAAAAAAAACACTGAAGGGAGATAGAAGAGCACTTCTCAAGTATTTGAAAAGTAGTCATATAGAAGAGGGGCAGGATCTGTTCTCGATCATCCCAGAGTGCAGGACACGTAATAATGGGCTCAAGCAACAGGAAGCCAGATTTCGGCTGAATCTCAGGCAAAACGTCCTAACTGTTAGAGCAGTACAACAACAGAAGCCATGATCTCAGGTGGCGAATGCTCCAACACTGGAGGCATGCAGGAGAAAGCAAGACCACCCTCTGTTGGATCTGCTTTGATTTGGGTTCCTGCCTTGAGCAGGGGGTTGGACTCGATGGCCTTAAGAGACCCCTTCTAACTCTTGTTATTCTATGATATATGTTGAAATACACTGATATGGCTGTCTCTTTGGAAACTATCTGACCTTAGCCAACTCCATGGTGGGATGGGATGCTGCAAGTCCAGCAGACTCTCTGATACTATGTTATCGTACCTTGAAACTCACATTGATAAAGTGTTTGTTTAGCGACAATTTAAAAATGAAGACCAAGCACAACCACTTGGGGGCACTCTTGCCATAAACATACACCCAGATTTTATTGATGAGGCGAAGCTTTCCTCAGAAAATTGGAACTCTGAAGGACTGATTTGCTCTTTGCAAAAATCTGCCTCTCCTGTAGGAAAATAGAAGCCACAATTTCGTTACCCTTGGAGGTATATTCAAACAGAGCAATCTGGACCAAATGTTTTCCCAGTACTGTTATAAGGGAAGGACTGCATCTCAGTGGTAGACCCCTACCTTTACAGACAGTGCCTAAAATCTAACATGAGGAGCACGGTAGCCCCCGGGTTTTAAGCCCCTTCCCACCGTGGTTCTCCCTTGGGTCGAAAAAAGCTTCAAAGACAGGATTGAACTCTCCAGAACAGTCTCTTTGGTTGCTTATAATCTTAGATCTGCAGAGCTGGAAGGGATCCTATGGATCATTGAATCCAGGAGGCCCAGTGGTGGAATCTAACTCCCAACCTCTGGCTCCACAGCCAGAAACCTAAACCACTGAACAATTTAGCAGTTCTCTAATAATTATAGAACTGCTCAGCTGGAAGGGACTCTAGAGGTAATCAAGTCAAGCCTCTTTCAGGTGGGTACAGTGAGGGAATCAAACTCCCAACCTCTGGCTTCACCTAAACCACCGAGCTATCCAGCAGCTTTCAGGGAAACCAATGGGGGAGGGAGAGGAAACTGTCCCTTCCTTGCACTGGATTCTGGTTTTTCACAGTCCAGGATGGATGAAACTCAGAAGGCTAGAAGTTACTTCCAAGTTATTGCTGTCATGTGCCATCTAGTCACTTCCAACGTATGGAGACCCTACATTTTGAGGTACAGTAGTACCTCGACTTATGAATGCCTCTACTTACAAACATTTCGCGTTACGAACAGCTCCGTTCGCAAAATTTTGCTTCAACTTGAGAACGGAGCTTCGACTTACGGACAAAAATATTCCTGCCCTTTTTTTGACCTAAATTCATCTTAGGTCAAAAGAAGAAAAATTTTTTAAAAAATTCTCCCTTTAGTGGTAGACTACAGATTAACCGGCTTTGCATTAGTTCCTATGTGAACTAATGCCTCTACTTGTGAACAGCGCCTCGACATGAACGAAAAACAGCCGGTATGGATTAAATGGTTTTCATTGCATTCCTATGGGAAATTTTGCCTCAATTTACAAACTTTTCGATGTACAAATGCCGTTCCAATACAGCTTAAGTTTGTAAGTCGAGGTACCACTGTTTATGAGATATTCATGGAGCGACTGACTTTTGGCCCTCTCTAGTGAGCTTCCATGGCCAAGCAGGGATTTGAACCCAGGTCTCTTGAGTTGTAGTCTGACATTATTATCCACTCCATTGCATTGATTCTCACTATTTCCAGGTAGGGCTGTCAGACAGTTCCAGTTACTCTCAACAGTACTGGACTCAATGGACTCAGTGCTGAAATAACTTCCTACTTATAACACTCCCTGCATTTGGAAATTGAGGGAGAAATCTTATGTAGAGGACAGACTGTATATCAATGGGGAGGACACCTGCTTTGCATAGAAAAGGCTCCACTCTCATTTCCAAGTATGTCTACAGAGGGCTAAGAAAGGTGTCTCAAACCATGGAGATTCCATGGCTGCCAGCCTGGGTTGGCAATAGACTCATAGAATCCTAGAATCCTGGAGTTGGAAGGAGACCCTCGAAGGCTATCGAGTCCAACTCCTTGCACAAGGCAGGAATTCAAATCCAAGCGGATCTGACAGAGGGTTGTCCCATTTTCCCTTGAATGCCTGCAGCGTGGGAGCGCTCACCACCTCCCAAGGTCATGGGTCCCATTGTCGTACTGCTCTAACAATTGTTTTTCCCAATATTCAGCCTAAATCTGGCTTTCGTCACTTGAACCCATTATTACGTGTCCTGCACTCTGGGAGGATAAAGAACAGATCCTGCCCCTCCTGTGTATCTTGTAAGTATTTGAAAAGTGCTATCGTATCTGGGTTATGACCTGGTAAAAGGCAGCTTGCTCTGTTCTGTGAGATCTGGCCCTTTCGCATCCATACCTCCTCTCTGAAGCTCTTCCCCACAGCCTTCTCTGAACTCCTCTAAATTCCCCCGCTCTCAACTTGTCCAGAGTCTCCACATGGCTCAGCAGAACTCCACAAGGAACCTCACTGTTGCCATGGGGACTGTGGTCGTCTCTTATGTTGCTGGGAAACCTTCTCTAGACCAAATACCTAGCTAATGTTCTGAGAATAGCCAAAAAGATAAGGACATCTGAAGAGCTCTTCTGGAGAAGACCAATGGCTTGTTGAGTACAAGATGGAGAACCTTCTTCCTATCGAGGCCTATGTTTCAGTTAGTACCCCAGAGAGGGTGGGTGAAGTTCAGAGTAAAACCATTGATGTATGTACCAACCATGCAGAATTGAAAAATGTCAAAAGGTAGAGACACACATCTAGGCATTTTCATCTTAGAACGGAAGGGGTCCTGTGGATCATCCAGTCCAGCCACTGTCAGGGAAGCCCATGGGAGAATTGAACTCCCAACCTCGAGCTCTGCAGCCAGAAACCTAAACCACCAAGCTATCCAGCAGTTCATTTTCTGTCTGCAGGTCATGCAAGATTTCCTCCATCAAGCTCTAGAGTAAGAAACACAGCTAGGCAAACCAAGTCATACCAGGAAACCAGAATCGGGAGGTGACCAAGGTGGCTTACGGAAATAGTCTATGCGGAGAGTCCAAAGCTCTGGTCTTAAATGGACTTAATCTCATCCAATTATCTATGTTTTGTTATGTTTTTGGCACTCTTTATTTTTTTATTTGTTAAAATTAAATTACATTTGTTTACATACAAAAAACCCCAAAACAAAACAAGACAATGGTCCCTCACCCCAGAGACCATCCATTAAGACAGTACACAGATATATTTTACAACATTTTCTTCATCTTTTAAAAATGACCCCTTATCCCTTCCAGAAATACATATATGCTTGACTTGGCTTTTGCCCTTTTCCTTTATTCAATATGGCATTTATAAAGTCATCCCATATCTTATTAAATGTATTAAACTTTATCACGCATTTTAAAACTCAATTTCAGATGTCAGTTTATCTTTATTCCAGAGTTCATTATGTATATCATTCATGTGAATGAAAAATCCAGTTCTTCGTACCGTTTCTTGCTATAAGTAATTGAGCAGCTGTTAAATTTATAATTGTCTCTTTTAGTTATTAACGTTATGATTATTAACAATAATACAGTAACGCTGTTCTTGATGATGCTTCAATGGTGACTTCAGGAAGGCTTTTAACAATACTAAGTGAATCTTGGAACCCCATTTCAACAGAAATGTGAATCTTTTTAAAGTTTTCAAGTCTTAATCACTTAATTGTATTTTAAATAATATATTGTTTAATTTATCTTTTAATATTTAATTTACTGTGTTTTAAAATTGTGTGAATTTTAATGATGTGAGCTACTTTGGGTCCCTTGTTGGAGAAATGCAGCATATAAATAAAACAAATAAATAACAAATAAATATTTATTTTATCTTAATTTCTTTAAAAACGTCCTCCAGAATCTTTGTATTACTTCACATTCCCATAAGTACAGATATGTACCTAATTCCAGCAACTCTCAGAATATTTAGAATCCATTTTGTTTGATTTTATCAGTGTTAAATACCATCTCCACATTATTCATAGCCATTCTCTTCTCCGGATTCCCAGAGGCAGTTCGTGTCATTCCGGCAACTCCTGCGATGTTGCTGGAACCAGTTGTATTGGCTTTTGCCTTTCCAATGGACTATTTTAGCAATGTGAAGAGGGGGGATCTGCTGCTTGAGTAACAGCTTATCCTCCATATTATTTTACCCAGTGTCGAAACAACAGCGGAAGTAGCAGTTACCCCCACACGCTGGACACCAATCAATGTGACAACCCCAGACCTACTGGAGTATGCCACCATGTATTTATGCTGCCACCAACCATTCCCTATAAGGAGTCACACAGACCAGGAATGGATTTTAATAAATAAAAGAACAAGGTTTATTGAAATTACAAACAGGATAAATAAAAGAATCAGGTAAATAGGATAATGTAACGTGGCATAACCCCAATCACACACATATAACAGATTGGTTCCCACAGAACCCTTTAA